TCAACTTTTGCGTGGGGCCCTAAGATGGGCATGCCCACTGCATCCCAAATTTTGGTGACGTTTCATGTGTGCACCTCGTACCTCCCATGCAACCGGCACTGATCGAATATGAACGATGTCAGCCCCGAACTGCGTTCTTTTTTCTTACTCAGCCGGTGGACCTCTAACTTTTTCCACACGCACTCATCGGCAGGGCCATCATGCCTGCAAGTTTTCATAATTTTCCGGCACCGTATGAATTTTCTATGGTTTCTCCGTGAAACGCACCGAAAACACTGACCGGGCGTGACGCAACGTGCGTTTGGTCTCCGTGAAACGCACGAAAACACATTACAAAAAACTCATTATTCTTACTTATAAATTGAAAAAACAACGCATTATTATTATGTAAACACATTTAGCCCTTAATGCAACACATTACAGTACTAAACTTTGCATATATTTTAAATATATTTTAGACATTAATTAACATTACATAAATATTAACAATGTAATTACTAATCTACACAAATAACTTATTACAAAATTCATTACAAAAAAACTCATTATCAATCAATTATCAAAAAACTCATTATTGTTTTAGCAATTACTTATAAAATACTCATTAGTTTTTCGTATAAATTTAAATAAACAACTCATTATTATTATAAGTAATATAGTTACAATTCTATATTATGTATGGTTTTTTATTAATTATAGAATTTCTGTATACTATAAGCCAGGCATAAATAACTAAAAAAGTGTTGACTGTGCGCCATGGCCCAGTGACAGTGCGCGACGTCGCGCGTGGGCTGGCCCATTGAGTGTGCGCGCGGTGCAGGGGCAGGGTCAGGGGGTGAGGACTAAAGTTTAGTCCCACCTCGCCCGCCGAACGACGCCGCGACCGGCTTATATACCAAGCTCCACCACCGTTTCGAAGTCCTCTGGTTCCCGCCCCGCCCCGCCTCTACCTCGTTTGTCTGTGCTGCAGGCCGTAGTTGGGCCGAAAGGCCGGCCCTTTCGCTACCCGGCTTGATCGGGCCGGACCGATTAAGCGCAGTTGTGGCGTGCAAGCACAGGTGGGCTTTTTTTTGCATCAATATTTTTTTTCCTTCTACGACTCACGGCGCGGGGAGAGGTGGAAGGGGCACTTTTTTGTCCAACCTCGCGCGCCGAGGGACGCCAGGACTGGCTTATATAGCCGCCTTTGAGATATTTATTGAAATAGGTAGTAATAATGCCATGTGACTTTAACTAAAGTCAACTGACATTATTACTATCTTATTTTTTAATATAAGCTTGTCAATTCGTGCAGAAATAACAATATTAAATTTTTCATATGTATATTTTTCAACACGAAATAAATTCCCTATTAAGTACTCTTTTTAATATAATTACTTAATAAATTTTGTATGAAGTACTGTTTTTAATTTAACTACTTAATAAATTCTATGTCAAATACAGTTTTTTAGGAACGGTCGTTTCCAAATTATTAGTTATATCAATAAACTAATTAATAATTTTTAATAAGCTGCAAAATGTTAGGCATTTACACAAAACTCATAAAAAATTAAAAAGATACTGATTATTTTTACCTATAAATTGTAATAAAAACTCATTATTCTTACTTATAAATTAAAAAAACAACACATTATTATTATGTAAACACATTTAGCCGTTAATGCAACACATTACAGTACTAAACTTTGCATATATTTTAAATATTATTGAGACATTAATTAACCTTACATAAATATTAAAAATGTAATTACTAATTGACAGAAATAACTGATTAAAATATTCATTACAAAAAAACTCATTATCAATTAATTATCAAAAAACTCATTATTGTTTTAGCAATTAATTATAAAAACTCATTAGTTTTTCGTATAAATTTTAATAAAGAACTCATTATTATTATAATAAATATAGTTGACAATTCTATATTATGTATGGATTTTTATTAATATTATTTTTAAAACAAAAAACAAAAAAGTCTTCGACAGCGTGCATCGGCCGGCACAGTGACAATGCGCGACGACGCGCGTGGGCCGGCCCATTGACTCTGCGCGCGGTGCGGGGGCAGGGTCGGCGGGTGTGAGGACTAAAGTTTAGTCCCACCTCGCCCGCCGAACGATGCCGCGACCGCCTTATATACCTGCCTCCCACCTCCCTTTCGAACTCCTCTGATTCCCGCCCCGTCCTGCCACTGCCCCGATTGACTGTGCTGCAGGCCGTAGCTGGGCCGAAAGGCCGGCCGTTTCGCCGCCCGGCTTGATCTGGCCGGACCGATTAAGCGCAGTTGTGGCCTGCAAGCACAGGAGGCAATTTTTTTATCATTGTTTTTTTTTCTTCTATAAATTTTTCTTATAATTGTTTTTTTTCCTTCTATAAATTTTTCTTATAGTGTTCCACCATTATTAGTAGGATGCATGCCAAGTTTTTTGTATTTTTCATCGCTTTATGAATGTTCTATAATTTCTCCGAATATGTCAACAAGTTGGCCTCCTTCTCCAGACCCCGTTTGGGCAGGACCGAAGGCCCCGTCTGAAAGGAGTTTTTTCCGACAGCCTTCAAATGTACCCACATTTTTTATAGTGTTCCACCATCATCATTAGGATGCATGAAAAGTTTTCTGGCTTTTTTATCGCTTTAAGAATTCTTCAGAGAGACCGTTCGAGTACGAGTGAAGGCCCCATGCATGCGTAACCGAGCACTGATTTTTCTCGTAACGTTGAAATGCATGTTTCCGTTTATTTTTTGAAGTTGCACGACTAATATCAAATT